CAAAGAAACAAATGGAAATTGCACAAAATTTCAATCAAAATAAATAACTTTGTAAAACCTCTTAAAAATCCATTAAATTTTTATGAAAAAAACAAGCAAAAAAGTGCACAAAACAACGGAAAAAATAAGCTCAATCAAAAAAGTGGCTTGTAACTGAAGTTAAGTTGGTCACAATGAATAATTTAAACAGAAAAAAAACAAAACCTATTTTTAGTTCCTTACTGTTTAAAAATTAAATAAATATCTGTTTCCTGTTAACATTTTTTTAAAAGAGATATCAATATTAAATTACCATTTTTATCATATCAAAATTAACATTAATAAATTCTTTTGATAATCATATCTAGTAGCCTTGTCAGGTGTACCAACATTCCTTCAAATTCTGTGAAAAAAAATGACCCTTTTGACCTGAGATGGGATCAGAAAAGTACAGCCTGCTTAAAGTCGTAACAAAAAGGGCCACAGGCCTCAGAAACACATCCTGAGCAACCCATTCATCACCTCCCATCTGACCATCAGAAGGATCACCCCCTCCTGAGCCTCAAACCTTAGTATAACCACTCAGGACGAGTTTCATCCGTGAGTAGTAACCCAAAGCGCCATCTACACAACTCACCGATAATTGTCGACTGTCGATATTGTAGGGATGCACTGTGGCCGTGGTTCTCGGCACCGTTCCTTGGGGCTGTGGCATATTGATGTCTTTATTTCCCGGTGATAGCGACGGCGTTGGGACGTTACTCAACGAGCCCCCTTGTCTGCAAATCAAGCGTTAAAAAAGGGGGCTATCAAACGTGTGAGACACACTGTTGGATGCTTTTGTACAAATCTCTGATTTTCTGGTGAATCGGATGCGATCGCACTCGGAGGAGCTCCAAAGCCCTTTGTTGCAATTCGGTTTTTCTTCCTGACTTATTTCTCCCAGCGAAGCCCAAAAGCATCTGCAGTTCGGACACCCGAAACGTAATTAGCATATTCTTGAACAAAAAAGACAGAGTTAGGAAAAGGGGGCACAAGGGGGCTGTTTATAACATTGAGGTTAGGTGCAATATGGGGGCTTACCCGCAATTCATCTATGTTTTCGGACATTTCCTGTGACTGATCCAGTTTGAGAACTCCTCTAACGTCACTTCAACCATTTAAACAAATGAATAACACTACTTGTTTGTTTAACATCAAAGTGAGCTAGTTGACGATTGTCAATTCAAAGCCTACCATTGGGGTTGGTGAATGGGGGCTTCAAGGGGGCGAAAACACACCCCATGCACTTTTTCGACGCGGATTTTGCACGATTTTTGCAGAATAACAAACCAACCAGCGATTTAGCTTGAGGGTAATGCGCGTACTGCCAACACTACGACGCCAAAATCACCAACAAGAAACTTGCTTGTGAATAGAATAAATAGATAATTGTGCTTGTAAAACTTAACAACTACAACTTTAGTGAGTTACTTACTTTGTTAGTTTGGTTGCAATTACAACAATTATTGATTTTTTTATTAATAATTTTGATTTTTTTATGCCAACCCGAGAAACTAAAAAAACCTAGTTCCCAACTAAAAAACGAGAGAAAACTGAACTAATTAAATAATTGTGCTCACTTGACGCTTTATTTTCCTTGAAAAAGCTTTTTAATGTTCAAAATGAATTATTTTTGACAATTTTCTTATAAAAACAAGAAATGTTACTATTGCCAACCCAAGGAGCCAAAATCACAAGAAATTCTGGCTGGTTAAATGCTTAATTTTTTAATTTGTTGTAATTTAATATTAATTTAGTACTTATTTTTTTAATGTTTAACTAAAGCCACTCCAAAAAAAAAACAAAAATTTAAAAAATCATACTAAAAAAGGCTAAAAGGCAGTCTCTAATTAAGTGATTTTGCTTCCAAACTGCTTTTTCAGGTTTATTGTGCTTGGAAAAGCATTTTAAGGTTCAAATTATTTATTTTGTTTTTTTGTAATGCCAACCCGAAAAACTAAAAAAACAGTTTTCAACTGAAAAACGAAATAAAACTGAATTCTAATTAAATAATTGTGCTCACATGACGCTTTATTTTGCTTAAAAAAGCTTTTTAATGTTCAAAATTAATTATTTTTGGCGATTTTTTTTATAAAAACAAGAAATGTTACTATTGCCAACCCAAGGAGCCAAAATCCCAAGGAATTCTGAGTGGTTAAATGGTCAATTTGTTAAATTCGTTGCAATTTAATATCAATTTAGCATTATTTGAGAATAATAATAGACACTTATTTTTTTTTGTTTAACTAAAGCCACTCAAAAAAAAATCAAAAAAAATCAAATTGAAAAAAGCTAAAAAGCAGCCTTTAAGTAAGTAATTTTGCTTACAAACTGCTTTTTCAGGTTTATTTTATCATTTTAGCATTTTTAGGTTCAAATTATTATTTTTTGTTTTTTTAATGCCAACCCGAGAAACTAAAAAAAAAACAGTTTCCAACTGAAAAACGAAATTCTAATTAAATAATTGTGCTCACGTGGCGCTTTATTCTGCTTAAAAAAGCTTTTTAATGTTCAAAATTAATTATTTTTGGCGATTTTTTATATAAACCAGAAATGTTACTATTGCCAACCCAAGGAGCCAAAATCCCAAGGAATTCTGAGTAGTTAAATGCTTAATTTGTTAAATTAGTTGCAATTTAATATTAATTTATAATAAACACTTATTATTTTTTTAATGTTTAACTAAGACCACCCCAAAAAAAAAAAAAAAAATCCAAAAAAATCAAACTGATAAAACCTAAAAAGCGGCCTCTAATTAAGTAATTTTGTTTACAAACTGCTTTTTCAGGTTTATTTTACTTGGAAAAGCATTTAAAGGTTCAAATCAATTATTTTTCTAGTTTTTTTAATGCCAACCCGAGAAACTAAAAAAACAGTTTCCAACTAAAAAACGAGAGAAAACTGAATTCTAATTAAATAATTATGCTTACATGGCGCTTTATTTTGCTTAAAAAAGCTTTCTAATGTTCAAAATTAATTGTTTTTAGCGATTTTTTATAAAAAAACAAGAAATATTACTATTGCCAACCCAAGGAGCCAAAATCCCAAGGAATTAATTTGTTAAATTGCAATTTAATATTAAAAAAACAAAAAAATCTAAAAAAAATCAAACTGAAAAAAACTAAAAAGCAGCCTCTAATTAAGTAATTTTGCGTACAAACTGCTTTTTCAGATTTATTTTGCTTAGAAAAGCATTTTAAGGTTAAAAAAAATTGTAGTTATTTTTATAATGCCAACGTAAAAACTCCCGGTTTAAAATTATTTTTATTTTGTGATTAAAAACGTCACCAATATCCAAGAAATCAAAATCTTTAAATGCACTGAACTCATATATAATGCGAGTTCAGTGTTTAAATGATTCATTATTAATTTACAAACTCTTTTAGGACCCACTTAGTGACTTTTCCCCCAGGTTGGTATCCCTTCACCGATTCAAAAATTGAAGTTTGAGGTTAAACAACAGTCGAAAAAAGCGTTATTTTAGTGCAAATTAAGTGAGAATGATCCACGAAACGCTCATGTATTTGTTAGACAACTCGGACACTTCGGTAATTGACCTTATCTCGGGGCCCCCTTGACCGATTTTTTCCAGTTGTGCAAACTCGACGAACTCCAGGAGTTCCTCCACCCCGGCGAAAGCCAACTGTTGCAAACCATCATGGAAATATCCTCGAGTCACAACTGCATCGTCTCATTCTGTAAAAGGATCCACGACACGCCCCACGGCCTCTACATCGAGGCTTTCGCAAACGGGGTACTCGAGGTTCTGGGGGCTTACAGGGGCGAAATCGCGCAACTGGAAGAGTCGTTCCTGCAAAACCCCCAACTGTCTTTGATCTACATTCGGAGCACTTTGGAAAAATACAAGCTTTTGTTCGATGTAATTATTTCAGTGATTCGAGTCGTGGAGGGGGACAAGCTCCACGGGTGCCTCCTTATGGGGCGCTTGCACAAATACGCCTACTGCGGCGTGGAATGCATAACAGAAGCCGCGAAAAAGTATAAATAAGAGTCCTGAAACTACTGAAAACAATTTTTTTTCAGGATCACTTACTGTTTCAACAGCATTTTTTACCGCCATTTGTGTAATTGGGTCATTTATGGGGAGTTGGTCGACCCCCACGGCGAGTTTTTCATCAAGGATGACCAATGCTGGGACGAGGATTTCCTCTACGCCGACCAATCCGAAGTCTCGAATCGCCCCCCTCCCGTGAGGAAATTCACCATAGTGTGGCCCATGGTGCCCATTTTCGTCACCGAAGACACCGCCGAGAGCATACTTTTCATGGGGCGCATTGTGTGGATCGTGAAAAACCACCAGAGGAAAACCGACCACCACCACAGCCCCCACAAACCCGACGTCTGGGAGGGGAAAGACGTCGAATACTACAGGAAAATCCAGAGTCTTGAACGACAAATTTTCGACCAAATGGAATTCCAAAATGTCATTGAAGAGTGCAGAATTAAATTAAGCAAAGTTGGTTAATCAATTAACACAAGGCGACAAAAAAAAGTCATGTGACAACTTGACATTTATATCATTTTGTTCGTCTCAGTGAGACAAATCAAATGGACTAAAAAAAATTTCAAAAAGTCCACACACTTTGAACTACTTATTTTTTTCTAATTTAAATGAATTTAAAATACTTTAACTTTAAAAAATCATTACTCAATAACTATTAGGCCGATTTGCTTCAAATAAAGACCATTCTAAACGGATGGACTTGCCCTTTAGAATGATATAAAATTTGAAATTGAATATTGGCAAACTTTTCTTCGAACAGTGTTCGAAGAAGTTCGAAGTAAATCGAAATAATCTAAGAAAAACCCTACGAGTATTTTTTTTTCATCATTACCACCGTAGAGCATCTCTTTATTAGTTGTAATCCAAATTTTCAAAAAAATATACCGAGTAGTTTTCAAGATATGATTTTTTGAAGTTAAGGTTTGCTAATCCAGGGGAGAAATGCATGTTAATCTCATTTAAAATTGCATTTTTATAAAAGTATTTGTTTTAAGACTCTTCTTTTGCTTAAAAATGGTCAATTGCACCTTCTTTGTTCTAATTAGAATAAACAAAAACTGTTTGTTTACTTAAAACAAATAAATAGTACCTGCGTAGTAATTAAAGCAAATTAAGAGTTTTTTTGTTGTAAAAATGACCACTGATCATTGAGCAAAGAGAATCTAGAAGTTTAAGACACGACTCTTAAATATAAGGGCAAATCTTTTCAAATCAAATCACTTTCCATTCAGATTTCGACTTGTTAACTTTGTTCTAGCTTTCTGAATTTTTTTTGAAAATGTTCTGAGCAAATGCTTTCTCATCACTTTCGAGTGATATTAAAGGCAATAAGTCACCTGATTTATTTGGTTGGTAACAATATTATTATTATTATTATTAGTAGTACCTAATGAAAACCATTTATTATTAGGAATTAAAATGATCAAATCTAACCAAAGACAATTTAACATAACTCTCTTTAATTTATTGATAGCTCTTTAATAAAGTTGCAATTGACAAATAAAATAATTTTATATAAATTTTATTCAATCCAAACAAACTT